TCTGATTTATTTTTCTGTGAAGTTTACCATCTATATATATATATATATATATATTGTATTCAAAAAATTGTTTTGCTAGCTCATCCGTGGGTCTTACAAACATATAATAGTGGTGGTAAATTTACGTAGAGGGGGTAATTTTAATAAATAAAGTATCTCTTTAATAAAGTATCGTTTTAATAAAGTATCACACTTTAATAAAGTATCTCTTTAATAAAGTATCTCTTTAATAAAGTATCTCACTTTAAAATATCTCACTTTAATAAAGTATCGTTTTAATAAAGTATCACTTTAATTAAAGTATCACTTTAACCCCTTGGGGACGGGTGATTCAGAAAAGCATTCGTACAAAATCAGAATCAGGATGTAATTAAATAAAAAACGGTAACTTAAATGTAGTCGTTTCTGGTTTGACAGACTTACTTTGCTTTGACTTTAATTATTGTTAGTTTAATCATATATATAATCAATGTTAATTCAAAGTATAACTAAATAGTTTTTTTTTAAACAAAGTAATGGTGAATTAAATAAATCAAACAATTATAACTCCACCCACTAATAAATTGCTAAAGAATTACTTTGATTACCAGTTTTATCTTTTTACCCTGGTTGATACGGTTTTATGCTGGCACGTATTTGTGACAGTCGGCGCGAAAGGGTTAATTAAAGTATCACTTTAATTAAAGCATCACTTTAATTAAAGCATCACTTTAGCGATTAGAGTTCTGATCCTGCAACAGGAGAAAATGTAGTGGTGATTACAAATATGTGTAACTATTGACACTTGTTGATTTTCATCGCGACATTCTGAAATTTGTAACACTTGTGATAATCCTACTTGAAAATAACACAAAACAGATATAAATATTTTCCTTTAAATATTAATTCAATTAATCATAACTATAATATTTTTGCTTATAATTATTTCTAATTCTTATAATTATTATTATTATTATTTTCTATAATTCAATCTATTATTATTTTCTTATAATTAATTCCATTATATATGGGATATTTTCGACTCAAATTTTCATCTGGAATTCTCTCCATGTGAAGGAATGTATGAATAAAATTAAAAACTAAAATAATTACTGATTCTTTTTCTTTTTTGAATGAAAAATTATACTTTGGTAAAGCAGAGAAAAAAGTTAAAAATATGGCAATAAAACTTCGATACTCACACATTTGGCCAAATAATATTCCTAGAATGCAGATGATATTAATAATTCCAATCATTTCTACTTGACTGTATATATAGGCAATACTCAACAAAAAAACTTTTCAGAATGAAAACTAAAATTCCTTCTATAATACTCTAATATTATAAACTACAAAATTTACTGACACTCTTTTATATATTTTTACTGAGAAAAAATTAAAAGAAAAGATAACATCCACGAGGTCAAGCTTGCCGATGGTCAACGATAATATAAGGGAAATTTCCCCTTTTCTTTAATTATATGTATCATTTGAAGAGGATTTCAAGTGCTCAATAGTTTCAAGATGATAAACAGAACTTTTCTGAGCGATACACAAGCTTATCAGTATGAATGAAATCATTGTTTAAAACCCCATGTTTCAATCAAATATGTTTATTTCATCAAATGATGCGTCATCGGCATTTCTCTTTAAAAAGTAAGTTTTTTTTGTTTTTATTTTTATTCGGAAACAAATTTTAATCAAGAATCAAGCAGTTAAAAAAATATATAACAAAATTAAACAAATATTTTAAAAGTCTTGCTTTTCAAATAAAATAAATCTTAGAAAATAATTTTATTCTTGTTGGAACTATATAAGACGAAAAATGTGACATTGGGGAGGATTTTCGATGGTAGTGGAAAATTAATACGAAACTGATGCATCCTGCATTTTTCTCTTTAGGTCTGATAAAAATATAATTATCAGATTGAAATCTTCAAAATCAACTCGCTTTAAAAATTTAAATTATTACATAGCAATTTACTGTCAACATCTTACAAAATTAGGCACCTATAACCATATATGGCAACGTTACTTTTAAAAAG